AGGCCAGAGACTCAAGCCCAGGGTTGTTTTACTCTAAAACCCTTGTCTACTATAGTATCAGAAATAGCCAAGACAGCATTCAGCATCATAAGTTTCAGAGTACAGCAAAATGAAAACTGGGAGATGAAGAACATCTTGGGGCTATAGTGGAACATACTGTAAAATCAAATCAGCAACATAGTGTTGGTGACCAAGCAGATGTCTACTAACTCTAGTGGGACAAAAATGTATGAAAGTAAAAACAGTGAGGCAATTCCCTCCATTCTTCCAAAAATGGTAGCCATTTGTTTATAATGTTAACAAATGTAGGGAAAAGCTACTGATTTAAGATGTAACAACTGTGATTTAAGTTATATAAGGAAGAGTTTCTGTACAATGCTAGACTAACTTATTATAGGATCCAAAGAGAGAATATGAAGTCTCCTTTTCTAAAGGTCTTTAAAATGAGAATGAGTTCTCAACAGGTTGCCTGAAGGTAGGGAAGTTGACTTAATGACTTTAATGTGTCTATTCAGCCCTTTGGTCCCTGGGATAGCAAAATTTTTCAGAAAGTAGATATGCTATATAAGCTACATATGCTATATAAAACTGAAGAGCTTTGATTCTTGTCCTAGCTTTCCTATTTATGGGCTCCATTATTTTACCTCACCTAACTTGCTGGAAGAATTCACTTCCTCATTGGTAAAACAGGGTGTTGGATTAGATATTTTGCAATATAATTCCTTCAAATTAAAAAAAAATACGCCTATGGTGCTATAAAAGTCAGAATACTGGCAGAAAATTTTCAGAAGCAATGGGAAGTAAAGGAAGAAAATAAATATTAGCAAAGACATTGTGGACAAGTGAGACAAGATGCTCTTCTCCAAAAATACTCACCCTCTCCTTTTTTCTTTCATATTGCATACCCTATGCCACGGTGCCCTGACTTCCACTGCAATTCATTACATTCAATTCAACAGATATTGTTTGAGCAATAATATATACAATACTCAAGGCTCACCTCACTATTCCACTATGGATTCAGGCCTTTTCAAGTAACATGAATTTAGAATTTGACTATCTCTGAAAAGAATGTACAAAGCAGGATGTGTATCTTTGTTTACACTTTGGTCAGGGATGATCAATACATAATGGAGTCGGTCAACAAAAAGACTTAAAAAGAAAACGGAGTAAGATCAAACATATTAGGGAAGTGAATATTAAAGAAAAAATCAGAAGAGAAGCATACAAAAATAGATTTGACACTTTTTCACCAGTAAAGACTGTGTCTTGCAACACTGGATAGAAATTTTCTAACAAGGAACTAAGACTTTTAGTTCCTATTTAAAAAATTTGTTTGTGGAGCCCCTGGTTGGCTCAGTTGGTTAGGTATCCAACTTGACTTCAGCTCAGGTCATGATCTCATGGATCATGAGATCGAGCCCTGCGTTGGGATCTGTGCTGACAGCGTAGAGCCTGCTTGGGATTCTCTCTATCAATCTCTCTCTCACCCTCTCTCTCTCTCCCTCTCCCTCTCTCTCTCCCTCCCTCCCTCCCTCCCCTCTCCTCTCTCCTCTCTCCTCCCCCACCCCAAGAATAAACAAATAAACATTAAAATAAAAACAGGGGCGCCTGGGTGGCGCAGTCGGTTAAGCGTCCGACTTCAGCCAGGTCACGATCTCGCGGTCCGTGAGTTCGAGCCCCGCATCGGGCTCTGGGCTGATGGCTCAGAGCCTGGAGCCTGTTTCTGATTCTGTGTCTCCCTCTCTCTCTGCTCCTCCCCCTTTCATGCTCTGTCTCTCTCTGTCCCAAAAATAAATAAAACGTTGAAAAAAAAAAATTTTAAAAAATAAATAAATAAATAAATAAATAAAAATAAGTATATACAAGATTCACTTGGTTCTTACCAAAAAACTTCAAGTGTTTGAATCTGCAGGACACTTGTGGAGTTCTGGTCTACTATACCCTCTTTTTTAAACTGCTGCCTTTTGGGAAACTTCTTGGGAAGTGTGATCTTGCTCGTTATGACATCAATGGACTGCATAGTTCTCTTTGGGTTTTGTTTGGCTATCAAAAACTTAGACTTTGGTTTCCATGTGGGAAGCTACAAAGCTAAGGAAGCATGGGATTGTTCATAGATGAAATGCTATCATCAATTTGTTTTAGGTTTCAGAAAATGCAAATGTAAAGCATCACCACAGAACATTATTTTTTTAATGTGAACCAATGTTTAAGTAATTATTTAAATGTGTAGGGTAGAGACAATTCATGTTATTTTTGGTACTTCCGTTGTATCCCTTCCTTGTATCTTTCTTAACTCTCTTCATCCTGATTTCTATCTCAGGCATCCAATTTTCTCATTCTCATTCTTCTTCATAGACATTAAATGTACTATCAGAAAGAAAATTTCCTATCAGCTCCTTACAGGTTAGTGTGAATTTAGGTCAATGGATTCCCTCTTCCAGGGGTATTTGCATTGTAAGCCTGAGTAGAGGGGAAAATCCTTCCTGATGAAACATCAGCAGGGATCTTTCCAGCACCTTTAAAACATCAGAAACTGTCACCCACAGGGCCTTAAACTTGAGTTGGACCTCTAGTTAAATCGAGTCCAGTGACTCAAGTAAACAAGTGTATAGGTGTCAGTCCCCAAATTCTAACAATATTTGAGTCACATTCATTTGCAAAGTTAGACCCATTTTTCTTTTCCTTGTTCCTCATTTATTCCTATTACTTAATTTATCTTCTATCTGCCTGCCTTGTTAGACTGGAGCCTTTCCAGGGCAGGGATCATATCTTATTCAGCTCTGGATCTCTAGGCCCAGCACAGTGTCTGGCTCATTGAAAATCCTTCCAGGCAAATAATTAGATTCCTATAGTTCAAATCTGCCAAGAGCCGTGTTTCTCTAAAATGACATGCCCAGTTCTACACCAAGGATCTTTCCTCTGATTTCATAGAACACCCACAGTGAAGGAAAAGTCTAAGCCAGCCTGCCACAGGACAAACTCTACCCAATCCAAAACAATTGTGAGGATATTTTAGAGCTTGTAATATGCTACGCTGGGAACGAAAGATAGAAGAATTGCCTCTGGATCTAGGTCTGGGAAACATCTTCTTCATGGTTCTAGAATTGAAAGGCCTTCACAGAACAGAAAAAAAACCCTAGTTTTATTTCTGTAGTGCATGATGCCAGGTATTTACTAGAGCACATGCCACTCAAGGCCCAGAGGGTTAGCTGGAGCAGCTGATACCCTGTGCTGCTTTTTATAACTCTCCTCCATAGCACCACGCTCTACATATGTCCCATTTCATCAGGTCACATCGACTTAGGTTGTGCCCAATACTGCATCTTACACCAAACACATCACCATGTAAAGTATTGTGTGTTTCCTTAAAATCTTTAGAAAAATAAAAATAAAAGTAAAGTTCCTTAAAAATAAAGCAGAGGATGTTTCCTGGTTCTTCATGTAAGCAGTGACTTTGCCAGTTGTTACAAATGAGCAGCCTCTTTCATTCTACAAGACATTGGGTCTGTCAGCCATTAGCAAACTGTGAAATTACTAGGTTAAGAATGGAATATACAGTACAGACTTAAATTGTATATAGACTTGTGAAATGAGTTTTTTGATGGTGGTAAGTCTACAGACTTTTGAAAATTATTTGCAAGGATAGCTGTCCATTTTCTTTATAATAAGATTGGAGAGAAAGGGGGAATTCTATAAAGGATCTTTAAAACATCACTGCTTATTTAATGTATTAAATATCTCTCATATACAATCCACCATCTTGGACCTTTGGGAGGAGTTACAAAAGGCACAAAATCCAAATATCTTGGCTTTAAAGAGCTTACTATTTAGAAAGAATGTTAACTTTAAAATACAGGCAGCCACCATTGCATTTATTGAGCACATACTCTGTGTCAGGTACTGTGTCAAGTATTTTTATATACAATATATCAGGGATTGGCAAATTACAACCAGAGGGCTGAATCTAGTCCACCATCTGTTTTTATAAATAAAATTTTATTGAAACACAGGAATACTCAATTGTTTGAGTATTGTCTCTGGCTGCTTTTGTGCTACAATGGTAGAGTTGAGTGGTTGTAACAGAGTTGAGACAGTCTGGTCTACAAACTGAAATACTTACTGTCTAGACCCTTACAGGAAATATTTGCTGACCTCTCCTCTACATCATTCATTCTTACAAGAATACTTAGAGATAAATTTAGTGTTTCCCGTTTTATAATTAGGTAACTGAGGGTTACAGGTTATGTAGCTTAGTAAGTGGCAAAATTTGTATTTGATTCTAGATTGTATAATTCAAAAGATCTATTCTTATTCTAAATTCATACACAAAAATAGCCAAAGCATGAGGTAGGAAGAAATAAGAGCCTTACAGACTCACAGAGAAACTGTTACTAGTGTTCAGAAAAGAAAGATACTATTTTGAGTTTGGGGTGATAAAGATTCTGGAGAAGATTGTATTTGAATGTAAAAGCAAAAATGAATCTCAGAATTTGCTACTCCCAAGCTCAAGCCCAAGAGAAGTTAAGAGATCAAGGTCACGTGATTAGTTAGAGGCAGATCTGAGATTAGGACCAGTTTTTCACTCACCCAGCCCAAAGTATACTGTCACTGACCATGCTGAGCCATTGAATGTTTTTGTATGTGTGGTTACATGTTATAGAATGGCAAAACTACTTGAAGTGGAGAATTTGTACATTATTCTCAATGATTAATTGAACTAAAGGCTTGTACTCCTTTTATTGAAGCAATCAAAAATACACATATACAGGTATTTACATGATATCTACCCACCATCCTACCAAATATATTTTTGTTGTGGAGAATCACACTTCTGAAACCATAGGAATCTCTGGCATTCTCACCAGTTTTAAGATTCAGATGATAACCAATTGACCACAAAAGTCAAATATTTATATGCATGTTGCCCTCCAGAATCAGACAGCTCTAGGCCAGAAGGAAAATGGAGAAGTAGATAGGTGCAGCCAACGGAAGCTTACCTGATACTGTAGAGTACTTTGCCATTTTTTGAAATTCGAAGCAATTTGTTGTCAGTGGTGACATCATGGAAGTTGGCACCCTTCTCATTGGCAAAGAATAAATCTGGTTTCCAAATGGAGTCCAGCATGGATGGGTCCAAGTCCAGGGAATCATCAGGATACTCGCTATATGCCAGCCGTGAATCATTCCACTGTTGTCTCAGAAAAATATTCACTCGGTAGTCCTATAGAAACCCCATGTATAAGAGTTACTTATCACCCAGTCTTGCATAAGAGGTCCATCTACACTTCCCCCTCATTCCTCCCCCTGATTTTGTGCAGTATTGGTATCTATATGAACCAGGCTGTGTATATCTTGGTCAAAACAAACTACTCAGTTCTATTAGGAGGGGAAACAGAGGGGAGAAAGGAAGAAGACTCAACCAAACCAGAACACTAATGGAATAGGTTGACTTCGTTGAATTTTTTCATGTTTAAATTATTCATTATGAGAGGAAATAATACCAACTCAAGCTGATTTTTCCACAGAGAAAGGTAACCATGAGTACAGAAGTCAGTCTGTGATGGCAGATTGTCAAAACTGATTCCTTTTCCAAATCAGAAACGACATGATCTCTATTCTCATTCTGCTCAGATGCTCTGGGCAGAAGGAAACCCACTCTGTACTTTTGGTAGTGGAAATCTTATCATAAAACTTTGACATGATGGGACAATATTTTTACATCCATCTATATAAATACTGAGATGCTTCGTGTTAACAAGATAATTCCATCATGCTACTTACTTTTAAAATTCTTAAATATTTTCTCATTTCTCTGAATGGGTTGTAGCTACAGTTGTTGACTTGAAACTTCATCAATACAGAGATCTTTTTCATTTTTCCTAGTCTGAACACCTTCTGACAAAGGTGCTCCTCCCTGTGAGAGACTCAGGTACACCCTGTCATTCCCACTTGATCCGGGAGTATACTTCCTTGCCAGTAAATCAGCTTGGGGCAGTGACTTCTCTCCTGGGAATTTCTACTCAAAGATCTTTTGGTTCATGGAAATGGTTGCTTTGCTTGGTAGAGCAGACCCCAAAAGAGGCTTTAATGGTGTTCCATAGCCATGTGGGACTATGATTCAGAGCTAATAGTTGTCCACTCTTGACACTTAGGGTCATTTAAGATGATATATACTCATTCCTTCTTGCTCTCTTTCCTTTTCCTTTTTTCGCCGTTTGCTCCATCCCCACATCTTTGGTGCTTGGATTTTTGGTCATTGTTTATTTTACTCTAATGGTAACCAACTTGTCCCGGTTTGCCTGAGAACCTCCCAGTTTTATTCCCCAAAGTACCACATTCATGGGATCTACTCAGTCCCAGACAAAACTGGGATAGTTGGTTACTCTACCAGGTACAGTGGATACCACCTCAGGATGGTCAGTTTTGGTTTATTCCCTTAGGGCCAAAAGAAGAAAAACATACTAAGTTGTAAAGATTACGGTATATGGAAAAGAGCTTTAATCCAGTTCCCTCTACCTATTACTAAGCTATCCAAATTCCTATGATATTTTTTCAAATACAGCCATCCTAATTATCAGGCTGATACAGTATTTTGGAGGCGGCAGGTCTCGGAAATAGTGCCCAGTATAGGCTTAAAGAATGCTAGTAATCAAATAGTTACTAATTTCTGAAAATCAGTCATCAAAACCCAGCTTATTTGGAAAGGCTGAAATATTAGAAGGAATAACCTTAAGGTTCTCCACTATACAACATACAAACTTTCTAACTTGGAAAATTTTATCAGCTGACTTTTATTTGGGATTTTACCAAGCATGGATGGCAAATTCTCAAACCTAAGAGGGCACTATTGTGAGCCCAGTCAGGCTTCCATCCCATCCTGTTTGCTCACTGACTCCTCCTGTGCTTGAATCAAGAGAATGGCAGCACCTCAAAGTTGTCCCCATCACATATTTTTGGAATTGTTCAAAGGGACCAGAGGATTGTAACTGGAAAGAGATTACCAGTTCAGTGTTTCATTGGCAACAGGAGTTGCCAGAAGCTTTGGAATTTTGTGTGAATAAAGAGTGGGAATGTGTGATATGTGGAGAATCAAAAATAGGGCTATTGAAAATACAATAATCCAACTTACATATAAAGTGTACACTAGATACATCAACTGTGAGCTTTCATTAAGGTTTCCTGAGGGGGGAAAATGCAGCTTCTCCAGTGTTTGACATCCACCCCTGTTATATCCCTTATAGTGAGAGCCAGTTATCCTTAACAGATTTGGGGAGGGGAGCAGGTGTCTGTGAGTGTGTTTCAGTAGGAAGTAGGAGAGAAGAGAATCTCTTCCCTCAGACAGCTCTGGAGGTAGAGAAACTCTAATATGAGAAGTAATGACAGCTAGAAATAATAGAGGTGAATGGGTTAAATATCTTGGACCATAGGGAAGACAATTAGGGCCCCTCAGAAAGCAATCTTAGGATGGGCAAGGCCATGAGAAGCCAGGTAGACAGTATTGGGCACAAAAATCACCAAGAGAACATCACTGCAATCCTCCCTTGAGCCTGAGAATGATTTAAAGCTGTGTATCGAGAGACTCTAGAGAATATTACATTAGTGACATACAATATGAAAACATTGACCTTTAAAAAAATTCAGTATAAATTTTCACAGCTAATGTACATCTTTTTTTAAAGTCTTTCCCATGAGTATTCTTCTCCAGTATTTCCTGGTTTCCTACTTTGAATTTTATATATAGAAAATAATAAAACATATTCACCCAATGTCAGAACTTGAAAGAGAGTACTAAATCTATCACATCACGATAGAACCATTAAATGTCTAACAGTTCATTTAAAATAAACGAATCCTCCTATTTGTAAGCAAGGACAAGTAGAAAACTTAGAGGAAAAATACAGTGTGTGCCACAATGACAGGAATTATATGAAATAAGACTTTTATTAGGTCTTTTGGAAGTATTTGTTGTTTATATAAATGTATGGGAATTTAAATTTTCGATTATTTTATTTGTGATGATATACACTATTTTAAAATAAACAGCTGCCCTTAAAACCTTTAAGAATAGAAAAGGATGCTCAAGGAACTAGAGACATAGGTATCCGAAGAAAAGATTTTCTGAGGCTTTGACCTCTGTAACTCTTTCACTTTACTATGATTTTCGATACAGGGTAGAAACTTGACACATGTGATTTATCCATGCATCATCTCTGTTTATGTAGAGCTAAGTTTATTTTCTCATGATATTATAAACCACAGGAGATAGTTATATTCTTCTGTAGTTTGTCTTTGTCTTTATGTCTGCTTCTAGGTTTAATGAAATATTAAAAGGGGAATAAATATTGAGAGACATGCTTAAATGCAGACTGAATTTTCTTTTCTTGCCTTCTTTCTCCAGAGACCTATTCTATGTCAAATAAATGTCATATTTCCTTGTATTAAAATTTGTTTTCGTATGACTGACTGGGTATTAGATTAGGTCATGGAAACATTCAAATTAAAAAATATATATAAGAGTAAATACATTTTTTTTTCAAATGCTACGTGTAAGTCATATAATCTTTATTATATTCTTAACACAAATACAAGTACCTACATTCCATACTATTATCTCACATCAAGTTTAGTATTTCTAAAGTTTCACTTTTCCTAATACCTTCTAATGCTATGCTTATGCCACAGATGGTTTCCTTAAATTGAATTATTTTGGTACTATTATATTTGGTCTAGCATTTGTACACAGAGATTACCACTATGTCTCATATACACTCTTATCAAACCTTACTCTTGCTCTCTTTTATTTGCATACATACACATTTTTCAATCTAGTTACATTATAAAGTTATCAACAAGAAGGCTATGCTTTGTTGACTCCCCACAGTGCCTCTGTGGTACTTTGGTTTTAACCTGTGGCTACGCTGCAGTAAAGTTTCATCCTCCTCAGTCTGTGCTAGCTTTGATACGGGAAGTTAGCCTTGAGTTGGAAATTATGGGGGTGGGTACAGTTGTTTTATGATGGATTCAGGCTTTAACGTTGCAGTGTGAGAGACCAAGGTCACCTTGTATCTCAGTTTAACAAAATGCCAGGCTTGGGGTAGACTCTTGGTGCTTCCTTAAGTCAGAAATAAGAAACGTAGCTACCTGCTATTCCTGATACGTTAGCATCTCCTCCTGAATTGCGTATGCAGCTACAGAATGAAAGGGAACCCACGGTGTCATTTCAGCAGTTACAGCACAGTGGGCATCCTCCTAAGGGGCTGTCTACCACTCATCCAGTTCCTCAGGAACATGATCTCAGATCTGAGATAAAACAACTCTTCACCCTGCAGCAGTAACCGGCAGAGCATGTGGAACTTATCTCTTGGGGCCAAGTTTGGGGGAGCTGGACTCCTATTCTGGAGATACTGTCTGAGTGAACACATTTTAGGCCCTTCCAGCTCTTTCTCCCCCACCTCAAGTGTTAAATGAGGAGGGAGTCAGGATCTGCTACTGTGGCATGGGTAGTGTTCCAGCACACACAGGTCCAAATCACATCCTTTGAGGAGACTATCTCTTCATTTTCTGATGGCCAGTCTTGGGGAGAGCTGCATGCCGGTGGCGCGCAAATACTTGTGACCTTTACTGACATTACTGATATTCCTAAAGTATGTCTTTATATGAGGAAAGCAGGCATTGCAAATGTATTCCCTCTCCTCTAAATTCTCTTGCCATCAGCAGCTAAAGAAAAGGGGGAAAGGAAGAAAAGGAAATGGTAAACTGACATTCTCAAGACAAAATATAACCTTTCTCGGAACCACAAAAAAATTGTTCCACTGAATTCTTTTAACACAAGGTTGGTGGGCAATGACCAGCCACAGATCCCTATGACTCTTAACGAAGAAAAATGTGTATTTTGGAATAATGTATATCATCATGATGATTCATAAAAAAGCATTCCTTAGAATAACACAACTGCATCTTCAACACTAACATATCAAAGGGATGAGAGGCAGTATTGGGTCTATAAGGGAGCCTATACTTTGTAGGCAGGTAGTGCCAACAATAGTTTAATGAGATGACATCGCCTCTTATTTAGAAACAAATCAAATACTCAACTAAATCCTTCAGTAATGCGACCAGGGTTATGGAGTGAGAGTGGGGCATGAGGGAAGAGAGGAAAATCAACATGTTTAGAAACTCAAAATTCTGAGGCACTCTTGGAAAAATTCATCCCAGAAAACATAGGTAAAGCAAAAATGATTTTTGCTTCCATATAGCTCTAAGCAGTGTCTTCAGTGACCACACACGTTATTGTGCATAAAGACTAAGGGTCTGGTATTCTGACTCCTACTAAAGACAGTTCAGAGAAAAATCTGGTTCTGTTTCACTTTTTTTTTGTCCAATTTTCTTTTAGTCAAACTTTGTGAAAGTGTGGGTAAATTTATGGGCGATAGAATCTCAAGGTTTTTGCAAGGGAAGCTTGGGCTGCCATGATATTCCATGTGCGTCAGGTAGATTCCCAGGTAGGACCCGAGGGGTCTGGGAGGATAGACCCTTTCTTTCAAGGTGGAGCCTATTTCTGTAAGTAAAGTTTTTTGGCGTACAGCCACACCCATTTGCTTACTATTGTTTATGGTTGCTTTCATGCCAAAAGGGCAGAATGGAGTAGTTGTGACAGAGACTGTCAGACCCTCAAAGTCTTAAGTATTTACTGTCTGGTCTTCTACAGAAAAAAGTTTGCCAGTTCCTACCCTACGTGGCATGAGGATTTATTAAGCACGATAGAGTTTCAAAAAAAAATATTCATTTTAGTTTCACACAAAAGCTTTAACTGAAGAAAATAAAAGATTCCTTTTCAAAGCCAAATGAAGTTGGTCATTACATCAAAAGCTAAGAAATAAAAGAAACACAATATCCACTACTCTTCTGACCATGCGATACAGTCTATATGATACGGGAAGATAGGAAGGCTGTTCATTTTACACTTGAGCAATAATTTCCAACGTTTCTCACAGGAAACATGACAAAGGACACCTTAATAAGTGGCCAGGAAACACCTAAGCAGCCCATTTATTAAACACCTTCAGTAACTATTAAACACACAGGAAAACAAGGATATCCATAGTTTCCGTTTTTATCTCCTTAAATGTTTAGCTTTTTCTTGCATTAATAAACATTGGAAAGGTGCACATTTACATTTTTGATTGAGGGTAAATGCAATGAGGAGTTTAATCAAAGCAACTTAGGATTCTAATTAATGCAATCAGCATTAGGTCGTGCAAATATCGTCATTGAATGCCATCGTGTAAAGCGGGTGACAGTGATTTGGGCTGCTGGAAGATTTGCCCCTCTGTTATCAGGATAAAACCAAGAGGGGAGAGACAAAAACTGAATGCCAAGCCTAGAGCTTGGCTTAGTCCTTCCATGTTTACATTTTCTTGTGAGTCATTTAATAACCCTATCAAAACTATATTGAGTAAAATTCTTAATGCACTACCTCCTGTCAAAGCACCAGAAGGCTCATTTCTGGACAGTGCTGTGTCAGTAATGTTAAAATGGGTAGTGGAGTTGCATTATGTCTAATTTTGCCAGTGAGAAGGAATGCTAAAAGGTAAATTACTTTTTTCTAGCATTGAGGACACCAAAAAGTACAGTAATTTGTTAAACACAATCCTAGTAGCCTGAAAGAGAAAATTCATAAAGACAAGGGAACACTATTTTTTACTTCCCAATGGCATTATGCTCATTATTTCACTTGAGTGTTTCTAGGACATCAGCCATCAAAGTACTTAGTCAAGTTCAACCATATTTTATTTTGACTTCATCCAGTAATATGGCTACTTTACGTAGTCATGAAAATTAGAACCTGCCAATTGATTGAGGACTTAAAATAAACTGTGTGAGGACCAAGAAAAAATTTCACCCAAAAGTCAATTTCCACACTATCACCTAGCACTGTAAGGCTCTTGATCTCATAGGCTGTGTCACAGCAACACCATCACCATGAAATTTATAAGAAATATTGGTGGATTTTGTAGTATCTGAAATCTTTTTCATGTACATGGAACATACTTGTACATACATGATGATGAGCTTATAATTAGTTTTATGTTTATTGGGGTTTTTTTTTGAGGGGGAGCCACGCATATGATGCATTTGCTATGGACTCGGGGCTACTTTCTTTTGCAACAAGATTATGTGTGTGCGCACACATGTGTGTATTTAGTGCAAGGTCAGCCCCTTGGCATGTATCTTTAATGTTGCATATCCGAGGCTTGACTATGTTAAAACTTCAATTATATGAAAAAGACTGGCTATAAAAAAAAATACCCCCTAAACTTTGAAATTTGTATTTCTGAAACATTAGAGATATAAATATTTAAATATCTTTAATGATACATGATGCTTATTACTGATAATTGTACCTAAGTCGAGCCAAACATCAAGTGTTTTAAAAATTTCTCTGGCATGATAGATAAAATATTATTGAATTTTAAGTAATGAACACTTGACTAATGACTTTCTAAAGTGACAGTGTACAAATAATCGCTTTCTAGAGGTGAGTGAACTTGGAAATTGGCATTCAGTAAGTGTCTCACACATATAAAACAGTGCTTCTTCGATCCTGTATCCCATTCCTTCACACGATGGCTTCAATGCTCAGTCCCACTCACCATTGTAGTTTCTGCTATTGACCCAAAGCTGTTGATAAATATGTTGCAGGTAACATTTACAGGAGGCCCTGCAAGTTGAACAATAAATAGAAAATTTGACAGGTTGTGTTCATGGCATAATCAAGTCACGTTTGTCTCTTGCCAGTGGCATTGTGGCACTTACCATGGTAGTTTCTGTGACCGATCCAAAACTGTTGATAAAAATATTGCAAGTAACGTTTACTGGAGGACCTGCAGAATGCAATAAGAATATTGCAATAGACATTGAAGCAAGAATACAGCTCCGTCAACATCTGTGCAAATGACTAGAAACGTAAACTAAAAATGATGGTGAGATTGCAAAAAAAAAAAAAAAAAAAAAGCCAAAAACCAAAATCAAAAATGTTGTACCCAGAGGTTCAGAGTGATAACATTCCCACTAGTGTTTCGAATAAGGACAGTTAAGCAATGATAACTTACCCAGCAGAGTTTGGGATTTAGAAAATATAAGCTGGAGACTATTAAACTGAATTCATTGTCACTAGTTGCTATCAAAATAGCCTTTTGGGTGGATGGTCTTTATCCATCCACCTCCTTTTCCAGGATACCCTTTAAATCAGTGGGTCTAATTTGATTCTCTTGACACCTTTGAATTTAGCCCATTCATTCTGTATATCCTCTGATCCCCAATGAAAAATGATGTACAAAAATACAAAAATAAAGAAAATTGGCTGGTTTTAAGAAATAAACACAGAAGTGTCACTTAATGTCTGGATTGTAAAGCAAGGGCTATTAATCCTAGATATGCTTTCAAAAGAGAGTCCACTTTTTTCTCCAGAGACCCAGAGGCTAGCTTTCTTGATTTCGCCCTTGGTCTCCCCAACCCAAGCCCTACTCAGGCCCTTTTCTGCTTAGTATCTGAGATCAGATGACAACAGATATGTTCAGGGGGGTATGGCCACAGATTCTTTGCCCTTCGATGATAGATATCACTGTCTATTTCCAGTTTCATGTTTTTCTGGGAGATATGTTTATTGCCCTCACGTAGTTACCCCTTAATTCTGGGTTAAGAATACACTGCCATGAGCCTTCTATCGCTAGAAAATTCTGTCTTTACTTAACAAGGTCTATGTAACCTAGTTCAGGCTACACCCTGGTTGGCTCTATACCCAACATGCCATGAGGATCTAAGTGACTGAGGCCTCCCTCTAAGGGTGGTGGTAAAACTCAGCCATGGTGGCGCTTGGGTACCGTGTGTTTAAACTCGACAAGTCAGAGGGTTCTCCAGCCCTTTCCTTTGAGGAAAGGAAACTTAGGTTAAACAGCGAACTTAAGTCTCCAGGCAAGAACTTTTGGTAAAAGAGATGTGTTAAGTTTTTTTCTTTAACATAACTAACTTTTCTGTTCTTAATGGAAAACGATTGTGTTTATTTTTTTAAATGTTTGTAGGTATGGAATCACAGGCACCATCATATTATCAAAATATTTTTCAGCCTGCATCTTTGAGATATTCCAAGTCTTTTAATTCATCCCTTCCCCCTCTTATTTCAACATCTGCCAAGATGACTTCTTCCCCAGGGTCACTTTCTACTCTATTTGACTTTGTTTCTCATTTGGTTACTGAAAAGAGAACAAAAATGAGTCTCTTCCTTGATGATAAAGTTCTATTCCATAGCAAATATACTTTTCTGCTAATAAGAAATACATTTAGACAAGGTAGAGGCAAGTTGTGAGACATTGTATATGTTCACTTTTTTTCTTCTCTTCACAATAAAATATTTCATTGTAAATAGCCCAATTCAGGATGGGAAGCTTTCATGAATTTTTATATGCAAGATAGATAAGAAAATGAATGATGGGGGGGTAAAGAAACAGGAAAGAGACATGTCTTCTGTACATTATCCTGGCCTCCCCAATTGGCCCCCCCAGTTGGCTTACAGGCATTTAGGATGCTGGGTCATACCATCATACACTTATTTTTATCCTTCCAAGTAAATGGCGGTGTGAGTGTATTGCTAGAACTCAAAATATTTTTTAAGCTACCACGTATTAACAAGCTGTACTAAGCACATTTTAAAAATTATCTAGTTTAATCTTCTCAAAAGAGGAATTGTTTTACTGCACCAGTAAATGTTTTCAGATGAGGAAACTGGGGGTTAGAGAGACTAAGCAACTTGCTTAAAGTCATGCCACAGTAAGTAGAAAGGCTGACACTCCATGCCTTATCATTCTCATCCCAAACACCTAAACGTTCAGCCCCTTTGCTGCACCACGTTCCTTACACAATAACCTCGCTTCCTCCTGACCTGCCAACCATGGTGTTTGCCACTGGTTTGTGGGATATTTCTGGGACAATTTGATCCTTTACTTCTGACCTCTTCAATCTTGGGTATTTTCTCAAGTTTCATTTGCATCCGGATATAAAATTTTGGAAAGAAGAAAAAGCAATTTTTTTGGATGCAGGGTTAGTACATGCATGTAATAAGAGTTGATACATATTAAAACCCTGCTGTGCGCCAGTGAGTGCTTTATTTCATTCTTCAGTCATTAGGTGCTACCATGTCCCCCACTTTATAGATGAGGAAGCTGAGACACAGAGGTAATTAATTAATTTTCCCAAGGTCACAGAGTTTGTAAGAGGCAGAAGTTGCCTAACTTATGGACACTTTTCTTAACTGCAGGAGTAAAATGTCTGAGGCCCCTGAAATTATCTTTCTGATAAAAGCTACTAGGACTACGGCCTGAAAATTCTTTGGGTTAGATGTTAGAATTGTTTTTCATTTTGTTATCCTGATACGTGTCCACACAACCTTTCATCTGTATTTTAGCCCAATAATCCACTAAGGTGTTCTAATTAACAAGGACACATCCTTAGATGGGATCATAAGTGAATGATTATTCTGTGAACTGTAGAAAGAAATAGTTAACACTAGTTAACCTCACGTAATTGGTTTTATCAGCAAAGTTACGTACGATATTCCAATAGGAAAAAGAATTATGTAGACACCTAATCTCTCATATCACTGTTATCCCTTCCTTCTTTCCAAACATCGTCTCCTCTCTCCCATCTCCCCTCTCTCCCTCCCTGCTTCCCTTTCTTTCTCACTCTTTTCTTTCTTTTTTGCCTTATTCTTTTTTTATTATTTGAGTGTAGTTGACACACAATGTTATATTAGTTTCAGGAGTACAACATAGTGATTTGACAGGTTTAAACATGATGCTATGCTTACCACAAGTGTAGCTACCATCCATCAGCCTACATTGTTATTACAGTATCATTGACTATATTCCTTATGCTGTGCCTCTTATTCCCATGACTTATTCATTTCACAACTGGAAGTTTTGCCTATCCCCCCACCCCCTCTGGCAGCCGTCAGTTTGTTCTCTGTGTTTACAGGAATGATTCTGCTTTTTCTTTGTTTATTCATTTTTTTTTAGATTCTACATATAAGTGAAATCATGTAGTATTTGTCTTTCTCAGTCTGACTTATTTCACTGAGTATAATACCCTCTAGGTCCATCCATGTTGTGGCAAACTGCACAGTTTCATCTTTTTATTTTGCATGATATTTCTGGGTGTGTGTGTGTGTGTGTGTGTGTGTGTGTGTGTGTGTACAACATCTTCCTTATCCATTCATCTATTGATGGACTCTTAAGTTGCTCCCGTATCTTGGCTATTGTAAATAATGCTGCCATAAACATAGGAGTGCATATATCCTTTCAAATTAATGTTTTTTGTTTTCTTTGGGTAAATAGTCAGTAGTGGAATTATTGGATCTTATGGTAATTCTGTTTTTAAGTTTTTGAGGAGCCTTGGTACAGTGACTGTATCAGTTTGCTTTCCTGCCAATGGCATGTGAGTGTTCCTTTCTTTCCACATCTTCACCAACACTTGTTATTTCTTGTCTTTTTGATTT